AGGTCCACTTCTGTGAACCTTGGCTCTGATACCAATGTGGGTTTTTCAAGCCCATGTCCAACTCCTTTATTAGTATGATATTGTCCGCGTTGAGCCCAATGGCAAAGTCCGCACGGATTTGTCTTTGGGCTCCTTCCCAAAATGTCTCATACTAATTGGAGTTGGACATTACTTATATATTAGAACATTATTGTCTAAACTTCCGATGTAGGATTTGGATTGATATCCCAACATAAACCTTAACGACACATGGACTACCTCTCCTAGAAGTACTACAATAAGTGCATCTGTTTTTGTTTTATTTTTTTTAAACAGCTATTTTAATATGATGTAAATGCGCCTAAATTTGTTCGGACAGATACAAATATCTTATGTTCTTTTGATTTAAAAAAGATATCTTAGGTGCTGTTCGTTTGTGTTTCTAATTAATTGCAGTATCTAGACGCAACCTCTAGACGCAGTATCTAGACGCAACATCCAGATGATGTTCGTTTGTGTGTTTGGTTAATGCGTCGAGAAATTATAGGTGGGTGCATTTATGTTCGTTTGATGTTTTTGTCTTTGTATTTAGATGCGTTTGATGTAAAATGACCAAAAACCCCCATGTTTTGTGTTAATACTATAATTTATAATTTAAATTAAAACAAATAACGAAAGAACTACCAAATTAATTTTTAAAATACTTATAATAAATGTTATCACACAAAATAATTAAATTTAAGAAATAAAATCATTTTCATAACTTAATAGTCCACTATAAATAATATTTTTGAATTTTAAAATATTTTCTTTAACTAAAACATCTAAACATTTTCATGAAATACTTTTCATTATCTTTAAACAAAACATCTAACACAAACCAACATCGACCAATATAATGGATTAAAATACAATATCAATTCTAATTGTCTATGAAATTATTAGGCTTTTGTTGATCAATTATGAAAATACGAACATAGAATAAAATAACGCAGAGAACAAAAGATTAAACACTATAATATATTTTTGG